GACGGCGAGTACAACCTGCGGAGCCGGACGGTCGTGTGCGGCTCATGCGGACTTCCTTCAGATAAATCCAGCAACTGCTCCGTGTCCTCTGCTTCCCGCTCCTTCCGCAGCGGAGGCATCTCCGAGGGTTTACTGCCCCACTCCTACGTGTTCAGCACGAGCACACCTCGCAAGGTGAGTACCGCAGCTCATACAGGAGATATATGACTTCCCTTTCATGCAAAGATTACCTCTTTGTTGTCTATTAATATGCATGTGTGGTAATTCTAATTTTGTCAAAATTTCTTCCTAGACTGGAGGCAGAATGGAGAGCTGTCCAATCATGTGAAGCCCTGGGGCCACTACACTACATTTTCTATAGCTTCTTAGGTATCAGTTGTTGAGTTATCTGGTATAGTTTTTAGTTCAGTTTATGTACTTCCAATTTAATTTCAAGTTATTGAATGCCAGAAAATTTTATACTGCTTTTTATAATGTACATATGCATGAATAAGAATAATTTTCCAGAGCTTAAAGGTTAATTGGGGTTAGCTTTTGGATGGGACATTTAAGGTTGGAAAATGTAAACCAGTTACTTTAACATTCATTCGTTTTAAAAACTTAATTCAAATTAATGTCATTATACTCTATAGACACTCTGACACAGCGGGGTTGTGATCAGTTTACAATTTTACCAAAATTGAAAACTTTTTTTTTCTCATTAAATCTTCTTACACAGTGAAGGTAAAATGAACCCAACCTTGCTACAGATCTACAGAATATTGTCGGGGTTTTTTTATTAAAATGAATAAACGTGTTTTCAGAAACCTGCCTTTTTTCTGTGTCTTTCTATTTACTCAGTTTCTTACAATATTTACTGCCTCACCATAGAATCTAATACAGGGGTGGGCAATTCCAGGCCTCTAATAATTCCTCTAATGGGACACAGTCAGGTGTTGCTCAAACAGGTGTTCACCTGTTTGAACGAGGCCAAGAGTTTTATTGATTTAATAAAAATCAATAATTTTTAAAAAAAAGTTTCATTCAAATGAAGAAAAATATGACATTTGTATTCAGGTTCACAATTACATGATAGCAATAATATAAAAGACCAGATTATAACTGTTCAGTATTCATACTCGTCCACGGTACTATAAAACTATAAGGTGCATTTATTTCACCACCTCTTGAACTTTACTTGAGTATTTCATTTATATTTTTTGTACCTTTTCTCCGCTATTTAGAAGGAATTCCTGCTTCTTGAAATTACAAAAAATAAATAAAGATTTTCAAAATCAAATCGTTCATATATATAATGAACATTCCAAATCATAAATGAAGTTTCTGCTCATTATTTACTGGAATAACTTTAATGGAAATGTTTTTGAACATTTGTGCTTTACTAGTTATATTTAAATTAAAGATATAAAAAAGAATGTATAAAATAGGCTTATATCGTGTGTCACATGGGTCTGATTCTATATAGCTGGCATATAGTGGAGGGATTCTACTTCTATTAATAACTCCATTATGCTGCCTTTTCATTTATATATAAGTACGGGTTAAGCATATTTTCTCATTTTAATTAGAAAAGTGTGTCTTTTACTGCAGTCTCTCCGCCTAAGAACAGGCTTTTATTTTGGAATCCCGGTTTTCAGGTCGCTTTCAAACCCGGAAGTAGCCTACAAGGTCAGGGTGCAAGTGTTGCTCTTGCACAGCATCAAAGCTCCAAAAGTAAGAGCTCTGTGGTTTAAAAGGACAAAACTGCATGTGAAGCTGTCTGCAAGAAAAAGGGTGTTAAAATTTGGTGAGTGTCGCTAATGTTTTGACACGAAGTGGAGCAAATGCTAAACGTTAGCTAGCAAGTCAGAGCTAGATAACAGTGAAGTGGACATGAGAGTGCTCCTACTGTAGCCCTGCGACATTAATGGGTACACAGTAATATCCACATAACCGTGTAATGCAGATAAAAAAATAAAAATACAAATGCTAATAAACATTTACAAATATTAGTCGTGTTGATCTGAACATAAATCGAACTGGATGTTAGCAAGTGAAATCTGTTTCACTTCAGTGTTCATGGTTCAGACACTTTTTATTTCTGTGCAGTCATGTGGATTAATAAGTACACCCTGACTGCTTTCATTGTAAATAAGAGGGTATGTAGCAGTAAGGTGCTGCTAATCAAATGCACGATTAATTGATCATCAGCACCTGTGAGCACCTCTGTAAAAGCAGAAGTTTAGGCACTTTTGCTGGTCTGCAGCATTCAGGTGTGTCAACACAGTACCACAAACTTCCCAGCAAATTCACCAAAAGATCGAACTGTGCAATGTTGATACTCTACAGGCTTCACTTAAATGTTAAAGCTCATGACAGTACAGTTAGAGAAAGACCAAACAAGTCTAGCTCGTTTGGAAGGAGTGTTTTGCAGACACAGGATGTGGTCACCTTACAGTCACCAGGTTGACTGTCTGCACCAGTTCATATTTGATTCAACTGTTCTTTAATCTGTCTGACAGCTAAAGCCTGACCCAAATTCAGTCATGCAACAGGACAGTGATGTCTAGCACAGCAGCAAATTGGTGAAAAAGAAAAGAATCAAGGTGTTACAATGGCCAGGTGAAAGACCTCAGCATGATTAAAATGCAGCAGGCTCTTAAGAAAGCTGTGCATTAATAAACACCTGCAAACCTCAAGGAACCGAAGCAATGTTATAAAGAAGAGTAGGACAAAATTCCCCCTTAGTGATGTTAGAGGCTGATAAACTCATACAGGAAATGATTGCTGCTGAATCATGGGCTGTAATTCGTTTTTCACAGGATTGCAGAGATTCCTGTGATAATGTTCCTTTTCACATAATTTTAGCGATACAGATAATAGTTTTCTCTGTATTGATTATTAGTGTATTTACATAAAATAAGTGACTTGTAATCTATTTACATTTGTTTTTATTATTGTTATTGTTATTTTTTTTAATGCTGCAGTGGTCTAATTCAAGATGATTTTCTCCTGTGGGAGGAAATAAAGCAGTCAGATCTGTAAATATTACTGCACTTAGATAATTTTTTTTGTTTTGATGGTTACACAGAAAATACACTCAGTTTATCTTTACTGTATTAGTTTTGTAATAACACAGTATCATTTTAGTTCATTTTTGTTGTGGAATTTTGTTTTTAAATGCCTAGTATGGGTTTTTTATTTAGTTTTAATCAACCATGTTCTGGTGTTGCACAGACTGTGTGAGAGTGGGGTGTCTCACCTCTTTCTTTAACGCATACTAAGCAGCAACGCAGACGAAGGGAATGACTGATTAAAAATGCATTTTCTAAGTTTGCAGTCTGCAGGTGTGAGCAAATAAAAGCAAGGAAACAGCGAAAGGAGTGAAACCTGCGTCATCAGCAGACTGAACATTGCTCACTGTGGTCTTTTCTTAAATTTCCTCAGGAGCTTGTATCATCTGGATGTTGAGCGTTCGAGCTCTGTTGGGGATCGGCTTCCTGGTGACCTCACGAGCCGCGACAGCCCTCGCTCAGGCAGGGACATGCCCGTTGCCCGCTGCAGCTAACAGCCACAGAAAGGACTGTTTCAGCAGCAGACCAGCGTCCACCATGGCCCAGGCCATCAAATATCTCGGGTGAAGGTTTTAACCTTTTCACACATAAGAGTAAAACCAGACTTCATGAGTCTAGACTGACCTGTAAATACTTCACAGGCAGGAGGAGGCCCAGCACATCGACGAGGAGCTCTTCAGTGAGTACGGCTTCAGTGTGGATCAGCTGATGGAGCTGGCTGGACTCAGCTGTGCCACAGCCGTCACACGGGTGAGCGTCACCGCGGGCTCTTATTTTTGAAATGCAAATCTAACGGGAGGAATATTAGTCACTGGACTGGCAACAAACTCTTTTATAATGTAAAATAATTGTTTCAGGAACTAATGTGAGACCTCTACCTATTCCAGCTGCTCAAAAATGAGTTTGGTGTCTTTAGGGTTTGAAAAAAGAAACGAGGGTCGAAAGTGGGGTGTAGAAATATTTTCACTTTTTTCTTCTATTCTATGGATGCGGTGGTTGAGCCACTTAATCCAGTTACAAAAATAAAAGTTTAAACATTGATGTAAATAGACAGCTACCAACCAGTTA